AAAAGTAACTTCAAATTGAACAGCCCCAAAGCTAGAATTTACAGTTCCAAAAATCTTCCACTGATTTATTGTGGTCCACATTAGAAAAGCCTACATTAACACAAATATTTTGTGCATCAGAATTATGAACAGACGGAAATCATTTCCTTTCACCCACAACTCTACATCTCTGGCCTTGCAGTGCTTCCATGTACAAGGAAAAGAGCAATGTTTTATTTCACCGTCAACATCTAAAGTTGGCCCCAAGACAACTCTTTCTCCATTTGGTCTACATTCCACACCTTAGGGTCAGGACCAGGAATTGGCAGTGAGGAGGAGACCCAACTAAGCTGGGAACTTGTCCGAAGAGAGAAGAATCTGCTCAATCCTAAAATTTCAACTTTCTTCCTGTCACAGCACTTCTTAAAAACACATGAAACAATGAGTCAGATCTCGGTTGGCCCATAATTCTCAGGACCAAATACTAAACTTCTTTATTGGAGAGAAATTCTTCACATTTTTACCAAAGCTACTTCAAGTATTTAAGTAAAGTTTCATTAAAGTGCTTGCTATTACCACATTTCTACTTGCCATATTTATTTTAGAGGTCCCTGTGCAATTTTTTTGAACCTTTGAGTCACCTTTATTCTTGTTTGCTTACTTGCTAGATACAACAGAAGAAATAATTTTTAGAGCTTAACATACCATGACTGGATTTTAATAGACTATTTTTGAAATCTAGTATAATTTACATAAATGTATCAGGTATTATTTCCTATAATATTTCCCTAGAAGACAAAGACTTATAAATTATTACTCTTCGGTTATATAATTATATTTAACACATATATGTATGCCTATTACAGTGAAGGTTCTAAACTAAAGGAAAAGAAATAATGTTTAACATTAGTTCATTCAACAATTATTTATTGAACGCTTATCATCTGCCAGGCACATTATGGGTAGAGAGTAGTTAACAAAATAGACACGATCCTTATTTTCATAGACCTTACAGAAATTGTGTTTGGCAATTCTATATCTATTTGACCTCTATCAGTTATCTCATCTCCCTAGTATTTTCAACCATTTCCTCTTTTATGGCTCTTTCCTAACAATACAAGTTCAAGGCACTCTCAGCTTTAAAACTGTGTATGTCTTCCCTTAGTCTCAGTTCCTCCTTAGCTACCTCCCTCTTTCTCCCCCATTTTATAGTCATATTTTCTAGAAAGAGTTATCTATATTAACTCAGCTGACCAGAATCTGGTCACTGCACTGAAAATGCTCTTTCCAAGACCATCACTATATCCAATGGACATTTTTCAGTTCCTATTTTACTTAGCTTCTCAGCAAGGTTTGAAATTATCAACCAGTTCCTCCTTGAAACTTTTTCCTTAGCTTTCAGAATTCTACATACTCTTGTAATTTTCCTCTTGTCTCTAGCTGCTCCCTCTCAGGCCCCCTTTTTTCTGACAATCCTTTAAAAATGGCTATCATTTAAACAATGCTTACTATGTGCCAAGCACAGTACTAAGTATTATACATACATTAATTCATTTAATGCTCTACGGCCCTGACAGGTTGGTTAGCTTCATTTTGCTGATGAGGAAACTGAAGCACAGAGAGATTAATTTGCCCAAGGACCTAGAGTTTTACTTTCTGTCTTTCTTTCATTCTATACATTCTCTCTGTATGACTATGTCTACCCGATTAATTACCTATTTTCTTTGATTCCAAAATCTGTATCTTCATCCCAGATAATCAGAATATTAAGCAGGCACTGGGCCATATTCACTCTATAGAGTGTAGCATGTTGTAGGTACACATCCGATCTTTGTTGTATGAATTTAAGTTATCCTTCTTAGCATCTATCAAAGTAGTAGGCATTCAACATGTATCTGGGGAACTGACCTGAACCCTCAATATAACCCCACAAAGTAGGAGTTACCTATCTAATTTAAAGATGAAGAAACCAAATCTCAAAGTGTTTAAATAATTTGTCCAAAGCCATGGAGGAGTACTAAGCAGCAAAGCCACGACCCACGCTCAGGACCACCAATTCTCAAAACCCACATGCATTATAGTCCATCACTTCCCTGTGCTATCAAGGATATCAAAGATGAACAAGATCAATACTGACTATGGAGGATCAATTGCTCTTGGATGGAAGGTGGGGGGATATCAAATTAGGAATAGTCTTTTGAAGGAAAACATTTGAACTGGTTCTTAAGAGTTGGGCAGAATTTAGACCAGCAGAGACTAGGGTAAAGGAGTAATGAGGGGGCACAACAAACATTTCTGGTGACAGTGACAGGATAAATACATGAGAAATAGATTTATGGGGAGTCCACTGGGGTTTTCAATATGGGTTGTGGCTGCTATTTTTCACCTTATGATGTACTAATAAAACCAGGCATGTGTCTTACTGCAAGATAAATGGGGTTTTACTAGACCTGGCATTCACTCTTAAGAGGCAGCCACTGTGTAAACATCTTACAAAATCAATTCGTAAAGAAGCCCACAAGGAACATTAAGGAGCTCACTTGCTGCAGTTCTGCAAGTTGCTTTTAAGGATGTCATAGTCGGTATTGAACAGAGGCCCACTGTCCTTTAGCATGGCTTTCTGGATGCTGTACACATGGACGCTGGCAGTCACAGCTAGCTTGGACTTCACTGCTACAAGTCAACAGGAAAAGCAGTCTGTTAACACACAACCTTCATAGCATGTGGGGACTTTAACAAGAAACCCTTCTGCATTAAAACCATTTACAACCTGTGGTGGTCCAAAAAGCTCTAAAAGGCCAAATAGCCACATACTGGTATACAGTATAACATCACCTCTTCTGTCTCCAACAGGGACGTTATGTATGACAAGGTAGGCGGTGGTGAGTCAGTTCTAAGCACAGCACCTGTGAGGGTATCACTCATCCAGTGGACACTTAGTAAATACTAATGAATGATTGATGATGACTGTGATTCTTTTTTTTCCAGTCAGGCAAGATTCTTACACTCCAGCATATAATGAGAAAGCAACTCTATAACAAATACTACTAACCAGGTGAGTATGCAAAGGAAAACACAAATGAACACCAGAGGAACAAACTTTAGGTTCCATAAAGGAAAGGACTATGCCCAATTTGTTCCAAGTCTCTAGTGACTAGCCCAGAGCTTGACACAGAGTATACACTCACTGTGTATTGGTTATCAACTGAATGAATCTTGCTTTGCCTACCAATGTGGGAACTCAGAAAGAAAAAAGTAGACAACTCCACCCTTCTGAATACATCATATTAATTTGTAATAAAACAACTCCACCAGCGGGAGTCTTTCTTTATAAAGTATAATTGTGTAGCCCTGGCTGGTTTGGCTCAGTGGTTGGAGGATCAGCCTGTGGACCCAAGGGTTCAATTCCAGATCAAGGGCATGTACCTCTGTTGTGGGTTCCCTCCCCACCCGCCGATCTGGGTGCATGCGGGAGGCAACCAATCAATGTGTCTCTCCCACACTGATATTTCTCTTTCTATCTCTCCCCTCCCTCTCCCTCTCTCTAAAAATCAATGGGGAAAAAAATCCTCGAGCAAGGATGAACAAAAGAAAAGACAGTGCAGTACTGTGTGCCTTTTAACCTTCAGTCAAAGTGTCAATGTAAACTTCTGACTTTTCTAACTTGTACACATTGCCCCAGTTGCAGGCTCAATCCCTGGTAAGGGGCAAGCAGGAGGGCAACCAATCATGTGTCTCTCTCACATCGATGTTTCTTTTTCTCTCTCTCTTTCACTCCCTCCCTTCCTCTCCCCTCCTTCCCTCCCTCCCTCCTCCTTCACCCTCCCTTTCACTCTCTCTAAAAATCAACTGAAAAAATATTCTTGAGTAAAGATTTTTTAAAAAATAATTTTTTTAAAAACTACAATAATGCAGGTTTTGTCTTGAGGCATAAGTCCAAGATCATGTGGAGCCCACTGCCTGTTATACAATTCTTCTGAATTGAGTTTTTAAAAAATAGAACAATAGCAGTTTGAAACCAATAGACAAATTTAATTTAGAAATTATATTGTCTTTCTGACTTTAGAAAAGATTCTTTTTCTATCTAAAAATAACTGTTACAGAACACAACACATTTAGAGAATACTATCTTTTTACAGTTGATTAGATGCTCCATATGGTATTCATGATAGTTTTTTGTATGTCTGTCACGAGTTTTGAAATCCTGTGATTAAAGTGCTTTATAAATGTTAGCAGCTATTGACTTTAAAAATGGAAGTTAGGCAGACGTAGTATATTTTAATGTTTCAGAAACTACTTATAAAAAGCATATACATATTTTCAGTTAAATAGCTAACTAAATTGTATGTAAATGTTAGAGGGCAGATTTTTTTTTTTTAGTGTACCTAAATTGATGCTATAAAAGTAAAATTTGCTAAATTGCTAACTTACCTTCCAATTTATCTTCTCTCACTACTGCAACCTTGTGGCACTGTAAGGAAATAACACTTCATTAATGTTAAGTGCAACTTGCAATTTTAAAGTTTCCTAGCCAATAATTCAATTGCACTTGGATGTAAAATTAGGAACATTAAGTACCCCTGAAAATATGTTACAGTTTAATAGTTATACTCATTTTTAACTTGCTTATATTAAAACTTCTCAGTGAGGTTAAGTGATAGAATATAAATATCAATACAATTTTTTAAAAACCCACAGCATCTCAAATCAGTGTGAAGAAAAGAGGACTTTTTAATAGATAATGTAATGAGAGTTTAATCACATGGAACTCAATAACAATTGGACATGTCTCTCAAACCATAGAACAATAAATCAATTCTTAATGGATCTGAGATCTAAATGTAAAGAATGAAACCAGCCCTAGCCAGTTTGGCTCAGTGGATAGAGCGTTGGCTTGCAGACTGAAGGATCCCGGGTTCGATTCCGGTCAAGGGCATGTACTTCAGTTGCAGGCTCCTCCCCGGCCCGGCCCCTGGTCAGGGCACGTTCCAGAGGCAACTAATCGATGTGTTTCTCTCACATCAATATTTCTCTGTGTCTTTCCCTCTCTCTTCCACTCTCTCTAAAAAAAATCAATGGAAAATATCATTGGGTGAGGATTAAAAACAACAAACAAACAAACAAAAGAATGAAACCATAATAAGCACTAAAAGAAAATATGGGTGAATTCTTCGATAAACTAATATGATCTGAAAATGGAGAAGTTTCCTAACTGTAATTCAAAAATAATAAAAATAATCCATAAAAATTGACAACCAACTTTTAGATGACAAAAAAAAAATAAAAAGTTTAACCAAAGTACAAAGACAAACGATAAAGTAGAAAAAAAGTCCGCAAGTTACATCACAAAGGGTTAATATATAGCTTCTAAAATAGAGAAAACAAAGACTAGCAATCCTTTAAAAAATGAGCAAGATGTATGAACAGAGACAGTTCACAGAAAAAGAAATGCAAATAACCCTGAAACATATGACAAGTGCTGTGTGGAAACAGGCATTCACGTAACATTGCTGCTGGGAATAGAGAGGTATTTGGCAATACCCAACGAAGTACATAAACATCCTACTTCTAGGAATGTAACCTTTAAACACACTGGCAAAAATATAGAGAACACATATACGCTGAACTATTCACTGCAGAACTATTTGTAATAGCCAAAGATTATAAATAACTCAAATAACTGTCAATAAGTGACAGCTGAATAAACTAAGGAATATCTACTAGAGGCCCAATGCACGAAATTCATGCACGGGTACGGTCCCTAGTGGCTGCCTGCCGCCACTGCCACCAGCCCTGCTCCTTGGGTGAACTCCCGGTTGAGGGGACAATTTGCATATTGGGCTTTTATTATATAGGATGTAGGATCATGTGGCTATAAAAAGAATGCAGAATATTTCTGTAACTACTATGGAGTAACGCTCAGGATCTACTATTAAGTAGAAGTAAAAAAAGCAAAGTACAAAATAGAATGTAATGTATAAAAATTATCTAAAAAGGGGGGTTATATGAATATAACTAGTTGGTGGTTTAACTACAGAGGAATTATTTCAAGTGATTCTAAAACATAGACTGATTGTGCATCTCTAGTAGGATACAGCCTACAGACAAAAACAACTGCAAAGAAGTGAAACCATTTTCAGTAATTGTATTGTTTCTAAAAATATTGGTTTGCTTTTCTAAATCTTATATATTTGGCTAAAGCAGACACATATTTATGTTAATGTAGGAACCACCAAAATTCACATCATAAGAGAGCAATGTAAAATCAAATAGCTTTTTTTAAAAAAATGTAATTGTAAATCTGAACAAAACAGGCATTCTTAAAAATGTCATATTCTGCAAAGCTGTATAATAAAAATTACAGAGCTTAAGAGAAAAAGAGCATTAGGAACTAACCACTCAAACCTATGCAACTTTGTATTAAGAGCCCTAAAAATAATAATTTCTACCCTCAGGAAAAAACTTGGACAACCCAGAGAGCTCAGTGTGGCTATATGCTGCTTCATGGGATACTGAAAATGCATAAAAACAACTCAGTGGAAATGCCAGCTTGCTTGCTAAAACAACACACACCAGAGTAGAGCTCCAATTCAGTTGGTTCCTATTAAAAGGAGGACACAGAGTAAGTTCAGTATTCACAAACCCAGAGCCTGGCTGAGGCTAAGCCCCCTTGCTTTTTAGCACTTAAAGAAAAAGGAAAAACATGGCTAGTTATTGAGAGCAAGTTCTTCTTTATAGAAAAATTCCAGCCAATAGCATGCAGAAAGAATGACAAAAGTAGAGCACCACCATTTTGTGAATTAATGATCTAGGCCAGTGGTCGGCAAACTTATTAGTCAACAGAACCAAATATCAACAGTACAACGAATGGAATTCCTTTTGAGAGCCAAATTTTTTAAACTTAAACTATATAGGTAGGTACATTGTTATTAACTTAATTAGGGTACTCCTAAGCTGGCCTTTGCTAAAAACGTGCTCAATCTGATTGAGGTACGTTCGCTGAGGTCGACCCCTCCCAACTCTCCCCTCCACACTCGTCTTACATACTTGTTTCCATCTATCTCCTTTCCGAAAACTGACTTCTGCACATGGGCCACGAAGTTTCAATTGCACTGTATGTGCGTGCCCGCACATGGTATTTTGTGAAAGAGCCACACTCAAGGGGCCAAAGAGCCGCATGTGGCTCGCGAGCCGTGGTTTGCCAACCACTGATCTAGGCAATAATAAAAATCAATCTCAGCTAAAATCATTAGATGAAAAAAGCTAGTAGGGAATTTCATAAAGGATGGACCAAGCTGACAACCTCTAACAACACAAAAAGAACCAACCAAATGTCCCACTGAAATGTGCAAACAGTTCTTTAGGAGACTCTGGGATGAGATCAGAGGGAGGCTTTTACGTTCTATGTGTTGTTAAACATTTTTTAGAAGAATCACGATCGCTGGAAAAATAAAAAGTCTAGTATTGTTAAACATCCATACAAAGTCTCTAATGAATCTTTTTCTTTCTAGAAACACTTAAAAATTAAAGAAGAAATTAAAGAGAACAAAACTTGAAATTATGCTTAATAGTCTGCCTTCCCATAAGAGGCCTCTCTTTAAGGAAAAAACATGGGTAACATCACCCACACTTGGCCAGTCATCCTCAGGGTCCACAGAGCTGCCCTGTGGCTGTGAAGAGGGTGAATACAGGGCTCAAAATCCTCACAATCACTTCACCCATGGCAATCCTACTCTCAGTATATTGTTTATATTAGGATTCTAAAGGTTTCATTTGAAAGCATTCTACTGCTTACAAAAATATTTGCAGAACTTAAATTTAAAAATAAAAGGCCTTTATAAGCAAGCCACAGTATAGACGTTTTTAACTGATATCAGTTACACATCATTTTGAAAAATGGTCTCAAAGAAATGCACGGAGGAACACAATCTAAATACACTTTCAGGGGTTTTTCCAGGCATCTCCTGAATCCCAAAGACCATGCAAAGTTCCCAACTTAAGAACCTCTGCTTAAGTGGCTTAGAATAAAAATCTACAACTCGATCTTAAAACATATATTCTTAACCTTAAGTCCTGCTCCAGAAGATATATGAACACTTACAATTTTATGAATTCTTTCAGATTCTCAAAAATAAATAAATAAATAAATAATCAGTGGCCAAAAAAATAAAACCCACTGCTTTAAAGAAACACAATGATTCCCAGGTAAAGAATTGACTATTACTAGACTGAAGGCTGCCTTAAGAAAGACAGGAGAGAGCTAGTTAACCCTGGAAAGAAAGGGAAAGGAGGCAGCCAAATGCAAATTCTGGCAATCTTATCTAATAAAAGACAAAAAGGGTAATTGACCGTACCTTGGCTACGCTTCCCATTGGCTAATCAGGGTGATATGCAAATTAACCGCCAACAAAGATGGCGGTTAATTTGCATACATAGGCTCCAAGCGGTGGAGCAAAGCCAAACGTACCCGAAGCCACTGAGCAGCAAGGCCTCACGGCCCCGGGAACAGCGGAGCCGCGAAGCCTGACGGCCAAGGGGGTTGGGGGGGTGGCTCTGGCCAGAGAAAAACTGGTGCCAGCAGCCAAGGGAAGGGAAGGCCTATTGCACGAATCTCTTCGTGCAACAGGCCTCTACTATCTATATAAGAGCCATACAGCCCTAACCGGTTTGGCTCAGTGGATTGAGCGTCGGCCTGCAGACTGAAGGGTCCCAGGTTCGATTCCGGTCAAGGGCATATATATACCTTGGTTGCAGGCACATCCCCAGTAGGAGGTGTGCAAGAGGCAGCTGATCGATGTTTCTCTCTCATCGATGTTTCTAACTCTCTATCCCTCTCTCTTCCTCTCTATAAAAAATCAATAAAAATATATTTAAAAAAAAAAAGAGCCATACAAAGAGAGAACTCTGGTGCCAGTTTTATTTCTGAGAGTAAATGAACCAGGTCTGCTTAATTTTGTGTTCAGGCATATAATGACATCTGATTCTCCACTTGCAAATATTTCGATTATCACCTGGCTTGCTAACTAACTTACCAACAAGGAAAGAAATTTGCTGTTCAGGGAGTATAAGGATTTGATCCCCAACACTTTTGTTTCTCCTTGTAAATCACTAAATTGCCATTCTCGTTTTATATCTCCCATGCTTGGGACTCTGTTGCTATAAGACAAATCCAGTCAGTATTTTGAGAAATCAAGCTTCTTAACGTACGAGTCTGAAGGAAAGTCAAAGGGAAGAGGAACATATATATTAGTGGATCTCTGAGGAGCCCTGGTCCTTGGGCTACGTTCTGTAGGGCTGATGGTAGTGGAAAAAGCAAAAAGAACCTTCCATTAGGAGGTTAGGGGAAGTGAGAACAGAAACAATGTGCCTTAGAGGAAGCCAGAGAGGAGGAATTATCAAATTTCCCAAGGATCAGTCTGGTGCAGAAGGAACAAGTTATTGCAGCAGAGCTTCCAAGTCATGGGAGTAGCAGAATGATCCCTTTGCCCCTCGGAGGGACATGGAAGTAGCTAAGAGAAAGTCAGTAGACCTGAGAAAGTTTTGTGGTCAGGATGATGAAAATGCAGCAGTGACCTGAGCTGAGGGGTGACCAGACTGGAAGACATGAATGAGAATAAAGATGTTCCCAACCCACCCCTCTGCATTCTTAGCCCCATCCTTCAGCCACTTAGACATAAGCTACTGAAATGATCAAATTAATACCAATTTCATTTAAAAAATAATAAAATTATACTTTCTGAACACCTGCATGTGTGACTTGACATTTGAACAGGATGGAAACTAACCATCATTTTCCCTAATACATCCTCAAGAGGAAGAAAGAGAAGTAGCAGACGCAGTCTCCTAATGTCTTGCTGCCGAGGAAAATTGCTAATAATGTTATAGTCTCTGCATCACAGCCAAGATATTACCAAAACTTCTCAGAGTTTTAAGTTTAGTCTAAAATTCAAAACAATCACCTACAGGTAGCTTTCTAAAACTTCCATAATACTAAATCTTGTGTTCCCCTTCCCCCCCACTCCGTGTTATTTGACAGTTGATAGCTCAAACATATTTAAGCTCATTGTAAGATTCTGAGAACTTACCAAATGTCCATTCTGAACAAGACTGCCAGACACTAAATAGGTGACATGCAGTTGGGCTCCTGAATTTTCCTTTCGCTTCCTTTCAACATAATCATACAGCATCCTGTTCCAAACAAAAGGCACAATAAAGCCATTAGCAAGATTTTTTTACCTCATCAACTTTTAATTTGTGACTTGCAAGTTAGGTATATTAAATCTGACAGTTCATCACATTTTCTACAGAATTTTCGCTCAGTTTATGGACCCAGAATTAGACTGGGGTCACTTACTGAATTGGCACAGTGACCCCGTTCATAACTGAAATAAAAGAAATCTAGTAATAGGCCCAGAGAGAGTGAACCTGCAATAAAACAGTAACATATAATGAATAGAACACTCAACCAAGAATAAGTTCAGTCACTATGTGATTCTGGATAAGTTAATTTTTCTAGGCCTCTTAACATCCTGAGGTATAAACAGGAGGGTACTAGATAGATTAGTGACTCTTTTCCCTGGGATTCATTGGCCATCTATAACCCTCCACCCCTCAAATTGGGAGGTAAAGTGTATTTTTATGCAGGGAGACAGTTCAGGGTTCTCAAAAGTTTCTCAAAAGGGTTCCAAAACATTAAGAACCACTAAGTAAATGATCACAAATGTCCAGCTTTGAAATCCCAGTTTTACAATCACTCAGATTCAATGCTGTTTCAGAACTGCAGAATGAACAGCCTACTCCCACTGCCCAGTGCTCTGAGCATCCATTAAACCGAGACTGTCAAACACCTGATATAGAAATAATGTTGCTTTCAGTAACATCCCTAAATTCATTTTATCCTTATGATCCAGCAAGTATCAGAGGTTGGCTCCCCTCAATAACTCACAGATTAACAAAAACGACAAAAGAGATATATCATTTTTATCTTTTATTTCAAGAAATATATACAGAGTCTCTATAATATGTCAGACTTCTGCCAAGAACAGCTAGAAACTCAAACTCAAAAATTCCAAGGGAAACTCAACCCTACACGGTTGACCACTCTCTTCTTGAAGCATCTGCTCTCTTAGCTTCCATGATCCTGTGCCCCAATGAGTCCCCTGCTACCCAACCCTCTAATTGCCCTGCTCCATTTCCTGCACAGACTTGATTACCTCCTCCTTTTCCATAATAGTTGGGGCTCTGTCTTTAGCTATCTTTTCACTCTGTATATTAGTGACCAACCATCTGGGTTTGCCTGGATTTGAGAGGTTTCCTGAGGCATGGACTTCTGGTGCTAAAATCAACAGTCCTGGGCCAACCAGGATGGTTGGTCTATTTCATTCATCCCCATGGCTTCACTAATTCCTGACAACAACATCTGCCTAAGCCACCCAAGCCAGAAATCTGGGAGTCATTATCCTTCACTTCTCCCTTTCCAGTGAGTTGCCAAATCTAGTCAGTTCTCCTTCCCAAGTAATTCTTGATTCCATGCCCTTTAAATCTCTTGACTGGACTATTTCAATTCCAAGTGTCAATTCTGCACCCCCACCCCTTCATTATCCACAAGGCTGCCACAGGAAAATGCAAATCAAGTCATTCGGTCAACAAAACTTTACTGAGTGGCCAGTTTCTGTTCTATGCCTTAGGGCAGAGGTCCTCAAACTTTTTAAACAGGGGGCCAGTTCACTGTCCCTCAGACGGTTGGAGGGCAGAACTATAGTTTAAAAGAAAACTATGAACAAATTCCTATGCACACTGCACATATCTTATTTTGAAGTAAAAAAACAAAATGGGAACAAATGCAATATTTGTATTTGCATGTGGCCCGCAGGCCGTAGTTTGAGGACCCCTGCCTTAGGGAGAGAGCAATAACAAAGCAAAGTTCCTAACCTTTTACACCTTACACTGCAGAAAAGAGAGACAAATAAATAAGTAAATGTATGTTGAGTGGTAGCAAATCTATAGAGGGAAAAGTCAGAATAGAGAGTGCCTGAGAAGAACTTTTGCTGTTTTATGTAAGGTGATTAGGAAAGGCCTCGTGAGCAGAGCCCTGCAGGAAGGGAGGAAGCCACCACTGTGGATATCTTGGGGAATAATGTTCCAGGCAGAGAGATCAGCATATGCAAAGGTTCTGAGGCAAGAATGTAGGCAAGGTCGGAAGAACAGAAAGGAGGCAAGTGTGCTGACACAGAATAAGGAAGAATAGTGGTGGCAGAGACAGCCAAGTGCCAGGGCTTTGTGGCCCTGTGTAGAACTGGAAACAAGGAAGTCATCAGAAGGCTTAGAGCAGAAATACTATGACCTCACTTTTAAGAAGGGTCCACTCTGACTTCTGTGTGTAAAATACACTGCTGATGGGTAAGGAAGGAAGCAGGGAGACTAGTCAGAAGGCTACTGCAGTAACCCAGGCTAGAGACGATGGTGGCTCAGATGAGGGTGGTCACAATGGAAGTAGTAAATTAGTGGAAAAATTCTGGGAGAACATAAAGGGAAAAACAACAGTATTTCCTGATGGGTATAAGAGAAAAAGGAGTTATGAATGATTGAACTAACCAGCTCAAAGAATAAAGTTATCATTCACTGAGATGGAGAAAAGCAGAAGTAGGTGTTGAGGGCAGAAATCAGGAGTTAGCTTTTGGGGCTTGGTAAGTCTGAGATGCCAGTTAGTCATTAAGTGATGTTGAAAAGTAGTTGGTATTCTTGTCTTTAGTATTACACTTTCGTCAAAATTTTTCAGTAGCTCTCCATCCCCTAAGGATCAACTCCAACTCCCCAGTAATGACATGTAAGACGCTTCTTGTTCTGGACCCCCGTATCTCTCACACACACACTATTTTCAGTCTTATTGAGGCAGGATAAGGAGCTAGGCAGATTCCTTGGCAAGTGGAGTGGGTAAACTGAGGCAGATAGCTGAACAAACTGGCCAAGCAATTTATAGCCAGATTCAGAAGGTCACCTTCCTAGGGATAACATTTAGGCCTCAGTTGTTTCAGCTCCCAGCCCGGAAAAGCAGCAAAACCAGGTGGACGACACCAGGACCAATTGTAATGACTAACAACTGCCTGCCCTGGCACCGACCAGTCAGGAAGACCATGACCCTGGTAAAGCACACCTGGAAACTAGTGCATATTCTACTAAAACCCTCCCCTGAGACCTCTCCTAAGATTCCCGCCTACAAGAGAGAGAGAAAAACCGCCGAGACAAAGGACCCAGCTCATGCTTTCCCTTTAGGGAGCACCCCCTCCCCTTCCCCTTTCTCCTCTTCCTCCCCAAGAGGCACGCATCTCCTAAACTCTAAGGGTCCCCAAGAGACTTGCAACCAGGGAGCAATGGGAAACGGCAGTCTGTCCTGGGCTAACCCCCTGAACCTGTCTCCAAAGCCCCCTTTTCTCTGACTTCCCAGTGAGCCAAAGCAGCCCAGCCTGGGCTCTCCTGTTGCGTTTCCTATGCTAAGATCTTCCTTAATTCACTGCTGTCAGCTTTAATATATGTACCCTCATAGTCACCTGGACTCATGTTGTGAAATTTTTACTGCACAAAGTCAAGAACCCACAAACTACGGGCTGGCCCTAGGCAGGCAGACATGTTCAGGGCCAGGTCCCCTGTCCCGTAACATCATGAAACATTCTGCAGTTCCCTTTGCTCCTTTGTATTCCCTTTGTTCTGCCTGAAATGCTCTGCCCAGACCTCATCTACCTAACTCCTTACACAGACAGCAGATCAGTTATCACCTCCTATGTGAAGCCTTCCCTAAAACCACAGGCCAGCAGGACACCCCTGCCTCCTAAGCTCTAACAGAGTCCATCCCATACCTGTTATTAGAGCACGCACCACGCTGGTTTCTAACTGCTTATATATCTGCCATCCCTAGTGGGCTATAAGCTCACTAAGGACAAAACTGTACCATATTTAGCATTTTTATTGATCACTCTATCTTGTTCTCTTTAGTGTTTCCTTCCATGCAGCAACTGCATTAGGGAAAATAAGGTAACACAAATTCATGAACATTTTCGTTTACTTATGCTAGTTAGGACCATGCTAATAGAAGAAATGATAGGCAGGTACCATGCCCAAGATGCTCTCAAGCTTGCTGACTAAATCTTTTATCTATAAGTCTATCATCACATACATCCTCCAAGTATTTATCTCTCCAAATCAACTCCAGTTCTTTTATATTAACAGGGAAGTCAAAACTGCACAAACTCTTTTTGAAAAATGTCATTCGGCATGCCTTCTCTAAAACATGTTTATCTCATTTGATCGCACAAAACATTTTACCAATAAAATATGCAAAATATCCTTAAATATGAATGAAAATATATATATGAATTCTTATAAGATGCCCTTCCTACAGATATGATTAACTATATCGTCTCATTTTAATTTATTAATTTTCCCTCCTGATCAGATCCACCCATAATTTTTACCAGGACAAATACAGTGTATAGGGATACTGCCTGCCCTAACCCAATTTAATTCCTTCACAGTATTTTTACAACTTGAAATTATCTTGTATAAATCAATGATGGGAAGGACCTTGTCTATCAGGTTTGCTGTTTTATGACAGAGCCTAAAATAATACTAAATATATAGTAAGAACTGAAAAAAATACTTCTTTAATAAATCAAGCAAATCAATACCAATCAGGCCCAATCACTGCCCTCAGCGCCAGCAATGATACTTTACATGCTTCCACTATAGAAAAAGCCAATAGTAGAAAGACAAATATTGTATGATTTCACCCATATGTGGAATCTAATGAACCAAATAAAATAACAAGCACAACAGAAACAGACTTATAGATACAAAGAATAGACTGACAGCTCAGAGAGGAGGGGAGTTGAGGGTTAGGTGAAAAACTGAAGGGATTAAGCAAAAAACAAAACACAAAAACCACAAAAAATTTAAAGACACAGACAACAGTATGATGATTGCCATAGGGAAAGGGGGAGGTAGTAGAGGATAAAGGGGGTGGATAATGGTGATAGGAGACTTGACTTTGGGTGGTGAACACACAAAACAATGTACACCTGAAACCTATATAATTTTATTAATCGATGTAACTCCAATAAATTCAATAAAAATTTAAAAAATAAAATGAGAATATTTCAAATGTTAAAAATAAATAAGTGAATAAATACTTATAC